TGCAAATAGCTTCGAAATATTTGATTAACCAATCAAATCAAAGAATTTTATGAATTTTATAAAGTGATCAATCAAAAAATACTTTGAAGCATCAAACGGATCGCATCCAACAGGTAAAAATTACAAGAGGAAATTCACTAGAATACTTGCAAATTCATATGTCAAAAGCTAGTAAATTTCCTCATTTTTGTAATTTTCATCTTGCTTCAAGATACACAATTGACTCCCTATTCTCGAACATACGCACATGAAAGTTCTATACTGTACGTAACATATATTATAGGATTTTTGTATATAACACATGTTTCAATAGGATCTTTTATATACCGTTGTGCGTAAGCTGCGTAGCCGGATAAACGTGATAACGTAATTTTGTAAGTTTCGAAATTGCCTTACTGTGTATTTAAGTCGCATGTATTATTCATATTACTGGAGATCTTGTCAGAAAAGTTGTCAAATAATATTCTACAAATAAGATCATTTGGTAAGCTCTAACCTACAAGAGACACGCGCCATTGTACGTAGTAGAGTAGTATGTGAGCTATGAACTTCACGCATATTACTAGTTCTCAGATGTTATAATACCGGTTGGCTTATGGTCTGATTTTTACTGCGTGATTTGAAATAAATTGTGGTGCATCTAGATTTTATTTCCTTATACTGTTCATTTCTCTATCTATATTGGATCTTTTGTTTGTTATTGGTATTTTGAGGTTAGGTCATCGAAATGCCGCGACTCACGCGTAGTGAGATTAATGTTATATTAATAATGAATTTTCTGCTTTAAGTTCGATTAATGGAACGTTTTCTTCAAATAATTTGAAATGTCTAAAAGTTATAAATGTTACTATTATCAACTGTCTTGCATTATGTCTCATGTAAAATTTAATCTTAAGCCTAATTTTTATTGTTGCATTGGATCGCATTAAGATTTCCTTTCTCATTTTTATCAAATTTCGAACTTGTGTTTATTTCAATACAAGTGTACACTAATATACTATTTCAGCCATAAAAAACCTATTGGTTCCAAAAACATGATGTTTACTAAGTACTTAATTAGCTTTTGTATCTGATTGATATATTTTAATGTAGAGTATATTAATTAGAGAATATATCATTTAGACATAAGAGTTTGCTAAATGCTTATGCTTGAATGGATTGTGCTTCTGGATACATTTAATAATTTATTTTGTTTAGATTGCATATGTATATGTATGTATATATATATATATATATATATATATATATATGATACAAAAGTTTGTTATATATTAAAATATTAAGAAATATCAACTTATAAAAGAAATTTTAAATACATAAATATTTATAGGTAAATAATGGCGAGTGGAGAATCACTTGCAGAAGTAACAGATGTTATACAAATTCTACGACAATGGGAAGAAGAACATAATACACCAACCTATGATCCTATACCTGTTCTTCAGAGATTAGCAGATATAATAGAACTTGAGACAGAAAATTATATGAAAATGGATCCTGATCCATTTGATGAAAGACATCCATCACGTACTGATCCAGAATGTAATTTTGGACACATATTGAAAGTTTTATTCAGAAAGGATAATTTTATGACAAAGGTAATTTATAAAGTAAATATCTTGTAAGAATTATAGATCCAATAGGAATATTTTAATAAAGTAACCCAATGTGCACTTTATTTTTAAATTTTACTTTTGTTTAATTTATGTTTAATTTATGTAAATACTATGTCAATTGATATAGTAATTGATATAGTAATATATCTATGAAATTTAAAAAAATTTTGTTTTTATGATAATTTTAAAAATACCTACTTAAGATTTTCTTTTAATATTTATTTAATTTATATAGTTTTTAATATTTATTTTTTAATTTATAGTGATTTTGTAATAAATACAAAAAATGTGATATTAAAAATATTTTTGTAACAAAACTACAGCGAAAATATAGGAGTTATATAATAATAGCATTTTACATTTTTTTAAAAATTATTTTACATATAAAACTTAATAATAATGTTTGTTTTTAGTTAATAAATGATTATTTGAGAGATACATACTGGTCTCGAGCAGGAATAACTGGAAAGGATGTTAGAAAGCTAAATATTGCTGCTTGTCGTTTAATGCTAGATATACTCCCAGGATTAGAAACCTCAGCAGTATTTCAGCCAGACATGGAAGGTCTTATACACAGATTATTTTCTTGGGCAGAAAAAAGCATTGAACCATTGCAGAGCTATTCAACTGGTCTTCTGGCCGCTGCTATGGAAGTACAAGATATAGCTACGGGATTTAGAGATCAAAATGCTAAAATGGTACCTTTAATGTTGCAACGATTACATAAGTTACAGCAGAAAGCACATGAAGAACGTCAGCAAAAGGTATATGAGGATTGTCAGAAAAATGTTAGGCCATTTGCTCACTTTGGGCATGACAGGAATGGTGTTACTGATTGTGACGACAAAGGCATTTCCGAAAAACGCAAATTGCAAGAGAAATGGCAAAAAAACGGGATTATGAAGAATCAAGATTCTCCTTCTTCTGATGAAAATGATTCGACGTGCAATTTCAATGATATGCCAGCCATTAAAAAAAGAAAAATAATTCTGGTTGTGAAACACCTGTAACGAATAGTGAGCTATATCCCGAGATTATGTCCCCACCTTCGTCTATACCGAAAATCATGAACAATCCCATTAATTTACAAGTGACACCATCTAAACAGGTGTTACAGTCTACAAGGATTGCGAATGTGTCGGCATCCACTAGGTGCAATTTTCAAAAATCTGTTCTATCTCAAAGTTCCAGCACACATTTAACACTTTTAGAAGGAAATTCAAATTCTTCTTGGGCTGAAATGGAATCATATGTTATTGGTAACGTACAGATGTATCCTCCTACTCTTGCAACTCGTCAGATGCTGATCTTGCGTTATCTAACACCAATGGGAGAGTATCAGGAATTCCTTGGCCATGTATTTGAGCATAACGCACTAGAATTGATACTGAAATATATAAATGTGCGAGAAACTAAAGATAGCAGATTGGCTTTTGAAGCTCTCAAATATCTTGCATCTCTGTTATGCCATAAAAAATTTTCAATTGAATTTTTAAACGTTGGTGGCTTGCAAAGACTACTAGATGTACCGAGACCGAGTGTTGCAGCAACAGGTGTGTCTATATGTCTTTACTATCTCGCGTATTGTGAAGATGCTATGGAACGAGTGTGTTTGTTACCAAAACACATTATAACTGATCTTGTGACTTATGCATTATGGTTACTGGAACGCAGTCACGATTCCGGACGATGTCACGCAACGATGTTCTTTGGCTTTTCTTTTCCATTCAAAGTTATATTGGAAGAATTCGATGCGCAGGATGGTTTGAGAAAATTATTTAATGTGGTAAGAAAACAATAAATATTTATGCTTTTTATTTATGCTTTTTAACAATAAATATTTATGCTTTTAAGTAAAAAGAAGAATCTTGATTTTATCCTTTTACATATCTTATTTGTTTAAAGCACAAAAAGGTCAAAATTAATTGAGAAAAAGTTAACTATTCGTGCTTTCTGAACAAAAATATAAATCTTGATATTATTCTTTTATCTTATTGCGTTTTATTCAAAACGCAAAAAATGCAATTTTATTACAAAAAAGATAATCCAGGTTTAAAAATAAATTAAAATTATTTTTTGTATAATAAAATTTAATTAAATTTTATTGTAGATATCTACCTTACCAATTCTAAATATCGAAGAAGAACCAACTATAAATGATGATGAAGAATGTGCGTCAAGGCAGATTGTACGACACGTTGCTGTTGCTTTGAAGAGATATATGGAAGCCCATTTGCATCTAAAAGCAGAACAATTGCAACGTGCAGAAAATGTTAGAGTTGAACGCGATACATGGCAGCCTTCATTACCACCTTACAAGGTAAAATATATCATATATTTAAAGGATTTTTTCCTATCAGAATTATCGTCAAAATAATAAATTTTATAAATTTTGAAAAAAAGAATGAAATGACTTGTAGTTAAAATTATTTTATATTTATTGCGTTAAATTCGAACTATCTTTTCTCTTTAATCATTTGAAGCATTTAACAAAAATGCTTTTTGTACTTATAACTATTGTGTAGCTTATTGAAATAGCTATGAAAAATACAAACTAAAGAAAACATATTACATAATAAAAGATATATTCTATTTACAAAAATGGTGACTATAAAAGGACTTTGACAATAGTTCTATGTCACTTTATTTGTGAGTATATCATTAGGAATCAGATACCTTGTGCATGCATGCGTGCATGTGTGCGTACGTATGTGTGTACATCGTGCGTGCGTTTGAGCACGTTTTACTTTTGCGTTTTTACTTTTCTAGGCATGCAAACTTAGTAGCGAAGAAGTTCAGGCAAAAGTGGAAATTCTTCAAGAATTAATGTCAGTCAGAGCGACATGGCCACCAGTGGAGGAACTTCATCGGTTAGGCGGTATCACATTGCTTTTGCAAATTATAGCTTTTGCTCGCGAATGGAATTACAGTGGGCGGTAAGTATAGTAATAATAAAGTATAGTAATAAGTATAGTAATAATAAATTGACAGTAAGTGGAAAATAAGTTACATATAGAAGTTAGATATAGGGTACACTTAATATACACTTAATCTAGAACATATACTTAATCTAGAATAAACTTTTATTAAATATCACATTTCTGACTTTGTTCTAAGTACTAAGTTTTTTTTTTTTTTTTTTTTTTTAATTTTGTTCGAAGAGCTTAGTTTTCGAATTATAAAAATTTATCATTCACGTATTATAAACCGAATATAGGAAGTAGGCAAATAGGCGGCGCAATCTACTATTAGATATGAACAATCTGCAAAAATACTCATATAAATGCTAGCATCCGTATAATCAGTTATACCCTCTTTGCATATTTTCTTGATCCAATGCAAACTATTTGTTTTTATAAAAAAAAGTGATTTTTGAACGAAGTTTTTGCAAAAGGAGAAGTCTCTGACTCAAGTTAGAAATCTATTATTTAAGAATAAAAGATTATCCTGTATATGTAGATACAGCTGATAGGAAGTTTTATAATTTTTAAATTAAATGATTATTTTTAGGGTACATACTACGTCAAGTGCTGAAACGGTTAGGTCATGTTTGGACGTAATTGCAATTTGTTCCATTGTACCAAAAGTCATGTTGTTGCTATGTGAAAGAGTTGATATGCCAGACATGTCAATGACAATGGCAATTAATCTTTTACTAGCCGCTGCTGAATGTGAGATTATTGCAGATGCGGATGTACAAAGAGCAGCACTTAGAGCTGTAATTAATTGTGTGTGTGCTCCTATAAACAGAGTATGTTTTTCTATAAAAATTTTCTTTTTTACTTTTACATTCTCTTATGGTATTTTATTCAATTGATGATATTTATTAACTTTTTAAGATCGGAGGAAATGTAGCTAGATATTCTATAACTGGATCTGCTAAAAAAAAGACAAATATTCACAATAGTGAAGAATTGATACAAAAAGTATGGGAAAGTGTTAGGTCAAACAATGGAATAATGGTATACATTGATAATTATATTATTATGTTATGTTATTTTAAATAATCATTTGGATTATATGATTTGTAAATTATTATTTTTTGAAATAGGTATTATTGCAACTAATGATGGTAAAAACACCTATTACCGATGCCGATAGTATACGGGCGTTAGCATGTCGTGCACTAGCTGGACTAGCACGTAGTGAAAAAGTTAGACAAATTATTAGCAAGTTACCAATGTTCACAAATGGACAAATTCAGTCACTTATGAAAGATCCTATATTGCAAGAAAAACGACAAGAACATGTTACTTTCCAAAAATATGCTCTTGAATTAATGGAAAGAGTATCTGGTAAAGCAAAGCCAACAGGAGCAGAATACGAAATTTCCTTAGTTAGTTTACACAGGGTAAGCTTCTTTTAATTTATATATATATAAATTATTTTTAAACAATCGTACATTCTGTAAAACCGGGAATTGTTCATTTCAAGAATCCGCGTAAAAGATATGAAAACAAATTTTTTTGCTATAAGTTGATACCAATGTACCTAATTGTCACTAAGCTGCAGGCCATATCGGAAAGTGCTTAGTGTTTCGACGACTGGATTATTTGTTGTCGTCATAAGTGTCAAAAGGGGGCGACAAAATAAATTTGGATGATTAAATCAATATTTTGTATTTTATTGAACAATTCCTGGTATTTATTTGAA